TTTCTAGTCTGAACATGTCCAGCTTCAGCTCCCAGCCCCTGGATCTTACTGCCGCTGTATGGTTGATTAAAGAGCTCCCAGCTAACAGAAATCTACTCCTCTAGGCCTCTTAGCCTGAACAGTATAATCAATGACAAGAGCCAAGCTCAGCTCTTCAAATTATTCAGGGTCCTAACTCTCCTTGTCAACTCATCTGGCACTTTTCATCTGCCGATCCCAAAGCGCTTTGCCAAGGAGGCTGGTCTAATTGTCCTCATTTTTTAGATGGGGAAACTGAGGCCCAGAGCAGGGCCGTGACTTGCCAAGGTCACCCAGCAGCAGCGCCAGGCCCAGAACCCAGCTCTGCTGAATCCCCACACCATGCGCGATCCACTGGGCCACACAAAAGGTCCTGTAGCTTATTGCTGGAAGGCAGGTTTCCCAGCCCTTGAATCAGTCCCGCTCCCAGGGCTCTTTCCTGAGCCCCTGGCCACTTTTACAACAGGAGGCCCATGTGTGGCCCAGGACCCTATTGTGCCAGGCGCTGTTCATTCTTATTGCTATTAGGTGTATTACCTAGGTAACACCTAGTTGTAAATCCACAATGGGCTAGACCCCATTGTGCCAGGAGCTGTACAATTTTATTGCTACTAGGTGAATTACAGTAGTACCTAAGAGACTCGCTCAGAGGCCAGGCCCCCATTGTGCCAGGTGCTGTACATTTACATGGCTATTAGGTGTATTACGGTAGCACCTAGGCACCCCACTTATTGACCCAGCCCCCACTGTGTCAAACCCAGAACACAAAGATGGCCTCTGCCCCGACAGCTTCCAATGGGAGTACCATCCTCTAGGGCCGGGTGCAGCAGCCTGGAGCATTAAGTCCTGAAAACTCAAGGCAGCTAGGCCGAAGCGAGTTGAAATCCGGGCCCTTCCCTGATTCCCAAGGTGCCGGCTGGAAATTTCTCCCGCTGCACTCCCAACTGCGACCTCCAGGGGGGCACCCTCCGCTAGCCCCTCCACAGGGGCCTGTGAGCAGATGGGTGAAGGGGGCTGGGTGTGGGGGGAGCAGAAATCGGGATCAACCGTGTGAATGATGCCCGACTTTGGCTCGCTCCGTGCGGCAGAACTCCACCCCACCCCTGCTAAAACCCATCTCCGCTGAGGGTGCAAACCCCAGATCCCGCCCCAGCTGCCCAGGCACTGGTGCAAACAGCGAAGAGGGCTCCCACCCCCACCCCACTGCATAAACAGGACAGCTGCTTCCCCCCCCCAGCTCCCCCTACAGAAAAGCCACGACATAAGCCCTTTAAAACTGAGCCGTTGGCGGGGGGGAACTGATGGCCAGTTACTGGGAGCTGGCGGTTTTGTTTGGCAGATCACAGGGACATATGGGGCCCAAACCTATTCCCCCCCCTTCCCAGCTTGCCTGCCCCTAATCTCTGCTGGGGGAGATGGGGTCACTGCAGGCTGGTGGAGACCTCCCCCCATAGCCGCCCTTTCCCGGCAGCCAGGACCCAGCTGGTAAATTCCATCACCTGGCCTGGCTAGGATGATCTGGTGAGGTTGAACTTTGCAGAGGCCCTTGAACCGTCATGTGAAAGCTTTGAAGGCTGCTTGGTTTTTAAAGAGATTCTTTTTTAAATGCATCAGTTGAGGGAGGGAGGGAATTTAAGTGCCCTACAGCGCCCCGGTTTTCAAACAAGAAAGGGAGGGGCCCCATTCCCCCTTCAGCCTGCGCCCACGTACATCAGCAGGGCAAAACGCTGGAGCCTGGGCCTTGCGAGGGTATAAAGGGGTGCTATTACCCAGTTGTAGCTTTCTCACGACTTGCTTTGTGTCCGCTAATAACACCCCTTTGACGTGTAGTGAAGACGGCCCTCGCTCTCCTTGGTGACCATGGGCCAATCACGTCCCCACCCTGTGCCTCAGTTTCCCCTCTCATCTGTTTCAGTGGTAAGCTCTTGAGGGCAGTGCCTCGTCAGGCCCCCCCCTTTGGTGTGGCCTCTAGGAGCTACCTGAATCCACAGAATCATCGCTCCACCTGTGACTCCCCAGCTGCCCCCGTCTCTCCCCCAAGGCTGTGCAGAGCCTTGCACACTAGGAGCCCAAACGCCGCTGGGGCCCCTGGAGAATACAAACAAGAGCATTCACGGTTTAGTTTCACATTGCTCTGCCGTAAATCCCGGCCCAAGGGAAGCAGAGCAGCTTGGAGACTTATTTTGAAAGCTCAGTTCCCGGCCCCAGTCCCACTGGATGTTGCTCCTAGTCAGAGAAATGGTTCTGAGTCCGATCACAAGAGCCGCTCAGAACCATCGTGGCATGTGAGCTTCCCGGGGGAAGGAGTGACATTTCTATATTATCACACGGACACAGTGCACAGCTGGCTGGGCCCCACGGGCAGCTACATGTGACTGGAAACCACCCCGCTGACGCAATCATCCCTATCCCCCAGCTGTAGGATGATCAGATGCAACCAGGCCCAGCAGGGGCTGAATGCAGGCTAGCTGGCCTTGAGGGCCAATTGACCTGAATGGGCAGGGGAAGGAGAGTGTTTGGAAAGTGAGCCTAGTTATAGGGCAAGCCCCTAGTTCTCCCCGTGCCTCAGTTTCCCCATTTGTAAAATGGGAATGGAGTACAATTACTTGAGACCCTAGATAAGAGAGAAGAGGCAGGTTTCCTAGCTACCCTTAGTGGTTGCTTTTCAGAAAGGCTTGGAAATTAGGCTCCTCCTTTTTGGAAACCAAGTCATCATGGGATAAGAGGGAAGGTCTTCTCATGGATCAGTAACTGGATGAAAGCTAGGAAAAGGGTAGGGTTAGGTGGTCCGGTTATACAGTGCAGAGAGGTAAATAGTGGGATCCCCCACGGCTTTGTACTAGGGCCTGTGCTGGTCGACATTCATAAGCGATCTGGAAAAGGGGGCGAATGGCGAGGTAGCAATGGTTGCAGAGGAAATAAAATTATTCAAGCTAGCGAAAGGCCAAAGCTGCCTGAGAAGAGTTACAAAGGGATCTCACTAAACTGGGTGCCAAAACGGCAGATGACATTCACTGTTGATAAGTGCAAAGCAACGCCCATTGGAAAACAAAATCCCTGCTGTACATACGGCATTAGCTCTTACCGCTCAAGATCTTGGAGTCGCTGCGGATAGTTCTCGGAAAACTAGCCCCGAGTATGGTCAAAAAGGCCAGCAGTCTGCTAGGCGCTATTAGGAAAGGGATAGAAAACAGGATAACGCCACTATATAAATTCCTGGTGCACCCACGCCTTGACGACTGTGGCCAGTTCTGGTGAGTCCATGAAAAAAAAAAAAAAAGACACAGTGGGACTGGAAAGAGGTAGAGAGAAGGGCAAACAAAGATGATTAAGGGTATGGAGCAGCTTCTGTACAGGGAGAGACTACAAAGATCAGGGCTGTTCAGCTGGGAAGGGCACTGACTAAGGAGGGAAGATGATAGAGGTCTATAAAATAATGGTGTAGGGGGGAAAACAAAAGTGTTACTGTCACACTATACAAAAATCAGGGGTCACCTAAGAGGCAACAGCTTTAGTACAAACAAGAGGAAGTAATTTCCCCTCACAATGCACAACTAACCTGTAGAACTCATTGCCACAGGATGTTATGATGGCCAAAAGTAGGACTGGGTTAAAAAAAACCCACCCCTCCCCCCACCACGACTGGATAAATTCCCAGAGGATAGGCCCATCAATAGCTATTCGCCAAGATGGTCAGGGACGCAACCCCCCCGCTCAGGGCAACTCTAAACCTCTGACTGCCAAAAGCCAGGAGCGGAAGACATGGGTGGGTCACGCCATAATTGTCTTGTCCTGTACACTCCCCCTGAACTCCTGGCAGAGACAGGATTTGGGCAAAACTGGTCTGACCCAGCAGGGCAGCTCTTATCTTTGTGGCCACGTTGCTGGTTGATCACAGAGCAACTTGATTCCAATGCTTCTGCTCTCGGGCAAGATTCCAGACCAAAACAAGGGGCGGGGCAGGGAAGCTGGTTACATCAGAAATAGCATCAGACAAGCTAGTGGCTAAAGGAGAAGGATCAATAATGTGCGTGTCAGAGACATTGCTTGGAAAGAAAACGGGACTGGCAGCCCTGCCCTAGCTTGTGGTGGGGTGGTGAGGATCAGTGGGGTAGAGATTGGGAGGTGCCAGGGCACCGGACAGGTACCCAAGACAAAAAACACAGCACATTGGGTCTGTGACAGGGCAGTGGCCTCACCCTGTTACATCCACACTGGGGTTGCTGAACGGTCAGTTTTTAAATCAAGGGAAATTCTAGAACAGGGGAGGCTATCTGTCAAAGAAAACACTTCACCCCCTGTTTTGAAAACCTCCCCCACGGTAGAATTAAGTCCTTTAGTTGTCAGGGGTGGGGGGGAGCAGAGACATGTGCCCCCAAGAAAGTTTACTGAAAGTGGAAAATTTCAGGGGAACCCCCCACCACAAACAAGTTGTTTTTGTTAAAAAGAGGGTTTTCAACATATGGCCACATCCTCACTGTAAACAACCCCTAGCACTTCAGAGCAGATCTGAAAGTGCTTTACAAAGGAGGGTAGCATCAGCATCTCCATTTGACAGGTAGGGAAACTGGGGCAAGCTGACTTGCCCGAGGATCGCCCAGCAGGGCCAGTGGGCATAACTAGGAGCACAGCCCAGGTCTTGGAAGTCCCAGGCCCGGTGCGCCAGACACTGACAGGGAGTTTCACCATCTTTACTTACATCTTTGCTCCGAGAGTGCCACAAGACCTGTTTAAGCTTCAGTGAAGTCAGTGGAACCTAGGAGTCAGGGATTTGCTGAACATCTGCCCTTGAAACACTGAACCAGCCAACACTCTTGCTTAAAGTTCAACATGGGCTTAGTGCCAGAAGCTTGAAGTTAAACACGTGCAAGATCAGGGCCTAGTTTAGTATTATTCTTCCTCCGTAAGTTGCTACCATGATACTAAACAGTCGCTAAAAAACAAAGCCGGCCTTCACCTTAAAGATTAAGCAGAGCACCAGATGCACAAAAAGAGACAGTTTTATTACAGTCAGGAAATAGATACAATCCATTAAAAAAAAATAATCACCCATTATATTAATTTTATAGATCTATAAAAAAGCAGAGTGAAACCACTATAAATAAACAAGAAATCAATTTCACAATAAGTTAGATTCAGCATGGTTACAGTCAGATCCTTAAGGCAGGCGCTGGTCCTGAATTTCGGCGTGCAGGATAAACTAAAAAGTTTATGCTCCTCTAAAAAGATTTGGTTCCAATATCAGAAATAGGATTTTTTTAAAAGACAATAAATAGTTTAAAATATAATTTAAAAAAAACAGACTAAGGCTTTTCAAACCTACATTTTTGAGGAAGGGCTGGTCGGGGGGAGAGAAGGGATATTGACTGGAATAACTCTTGCAGAATTACTCCCTATTTCCCTGCTCCATTTCAGAGCAAATTTTGTTCCACAACTATTGCTCTGCTTGGGAAGCCCATGAATTATTCCAGAATAGAGCGTCCACACATGCAGAAATTCTGTCACTTTCCACCCCCCTCCTTAGATGCACAGGTCTGATCAGTTGCATGGAAAACAAGCTATTCCCACTGGAGCGGGATTCTCAAATCCACCCCCAAGGCATCTTTGAAAACTCTTTGCCTTAGATACTAGCCCAGCGACGCTAGCCTAGCAGAGGAAGCCTTCTACCTTTGAAAGATTAGTAGCTTTCTTCAAAACAACTGAAGAGGTTTAAACTGGGAAAGACAACGAGAGTAGCCAGCCAGCAGGAGGACGCTGCAGAGCTGAGGGGGGAGTGGGGGGGGGGGGGGGCGTTGTTTCCTACCTATAGGGTGGGGCTGTGAAATTAAACCATATAGTCTAAACACTGCTCCATTCCCAGCCCAGTGAGGAGGGGCAGAGAATAGCAGATGGATCTGAAACATGAGGGGGTGGGGGAGAAGAATAATAATTCAGGAGCCTATTTGGGTTTTTAGAATCTGGCCCTAAAATAATTCAGCCCATAAGATCCGGCCAGCTTTGCTGAAGGTCTCGGCTCCCAAACAAACAGGCAGGTTTGGCCTGTGAGCTTGGCTGTTTGCACAGCTTAGCTCAGAGCAGAGGATTTATGGGAAAGAGTCTGTCCCTTCCTTGGTTTAGAGCCTAGACAGGAACAGAGCAACCTGGAGAAATCTGGCCCGGGGTACAGACGGTGGGTATAGTGAACACCAGCCCTGCCTGCTTGCCAGACACGCCCCCGTCCTGGGTAATTTCCTGCCATCTTCCACCTGCAACTCTGCCTCCGCCCCCTGAGGATCCAGACCACTAGGGAGGAGATGAGAGGGGCTGGGGGCAGGAATCTGGCAGGCCAGCCAAGTTGGGACGAACTTGGGAGGAGATCCCAGGAGGAGGAATCACTTGCCAAACGGACTCCCAACCTGGGATGCCTAACTTCCCCTTGCTGGAACCTAGCACCCCCTGCTGGTAAGATGAGAGCCAGCCTGCCGCCCCAGCCAGGCTGCATGGAGTTTGCGTGGCAAGTTTAAGTCACAGCAAGCCACACATGGCGGCAACCAACCCCTCCGAGATCAATAGCACTTGGGTGTTTAAGCCTGAGAAAAAGTAGCACCTAGTGGGCAGGCTCAGAGCCTGCCAGCTGCAACGGGAGGCTAGCAAGGCCACATGGCTTGTTCAGGACACCCGGAAGGCTCTCGGGTAGAGTCACGGATCATCTGTATAAAGCTACAACCGTCCTACCACCAGCAGCCTGCCCTGAGGGAGTGAGAAGCCTCTGCTCTAGGCCTGGGGAGACAGGAGGCTGGTCAGTTTCAGTTTCAGCACCTCGTCCGTTTCACTTCACATCCACCCTCCGGCACAGGCAGGGGCACCAGGGGCTCCTCAAAAGGGCTACCGATTCTCACCGGCTCTGCAGCTCACAGCAGCGTCCGGCTCTGGTGGAAATCCCTACACCAGATGCAGAGCAGCAGAATCAGACCCAGACACACACACACAAAAAATCCCCTATCACAGGAACTTGCCTGTGTGTGTTAAAAAAAACACTTTCCTTTTTTTTGTTTGTTTTGGAAGACACAAGGTCACGCATCCGAGTTTCCAGAAGCGGCCTCTGGGTCAGGAGATCTGACTCAGAATCCACCCACGGACCCGGGCTGCAGAGATCAGGAGGTCTCGTGATGCCTCTGCCTCCCCAGCCCCCCAAGCAAGAATAGCCCAGGCTGTGTTCACCACTGAAAGGCTTTTCCTCCTTGCATGGTGGTTTACACCAGTGCAAGACTCCAACCCCATCCCATCCAGCAGCAGTATACACTGGTATAAGCAATGGTATGAGGCACATGGTGATAGGCGTGGGGGGGGGGGGAGAGAAGCACCCCCTTCCCAGGCCTAGTTCTCCTCTGCCCTTCTGCAATACAGGGGGGGTCAGACTCCAATAGGAGTGGAATGAGCCCTGATTTATACCAGAAGTAGAAGATCTGGCCCATGGGTTACTGATCACATGATCCCAGAGGGGGGTTTTGCCCCTACACACTGAACCCTGGAACCGATTAACCCCTTCAGCTCTGATCCAATATTGTACCTCCTCCCCCACCCCCCCCCAGGTCCCAGCCTCTCGGTGGAGAGGCAGCGATTTAAGCATTTGCCCCAGCAAAGGGCAGGGGGGGCAGGGCCCGTGCTGGAGGTTCGCTGCACACCGGCTAGTCGGAGACAGACAGGCGACTGAAGATGGGGAGCCGGCGCCCGCCGGGCCCCAGTCCTGGCGACTCGGACCCGCTGCTGCCTCCCGAGTCCTCCTGATCCGAGAGGGAGTCGGAGGAAGGGCTCCTCTGCAGCAACAGCTGCCCGGGGAAGGCGAAGGCGTCGGGGGCAGCCGGGGTCCCCCCTGCTCCGTCCTGGCCCAGAGTGGCGGTGGCCGGAAAGGCCAAAGAGGGGGGATCCCCGGCGGGGTGGCAGCAGCCGCAGGGCCCGGGCGGCCGGAGGGGGACAGGCAGTGAGGCGGAGGGCAGGGAGGCGCTGCGGGAGAAGGAGGGGGGGCGCTGCTCCTCCGCGTTGTGGATGAAGTGGCAGCGGGAGCCGTAGGGGCAGAAGCCGGCCGTGTGGAACGTCCGGCACAGCTCCGTCTTGTACTTGGGGTGGCGGCTGAGGGTCCGCAGCTCCCCGGCCCCGTGGGCGAACTGGCACTTGGCCCCGTACTTGCAGGCCCCGCTCTCCTGGTAGGTGCGGCAGAGCTCCGTCTTGTAGCGGGCCGAGGCGGCCGCCCCCTCCCGGCAGCCCTCGATCACGCTGGCCGAGCGCTCCGCCCGGAATGGGAGGCGCTGGAGACTGGTGCGGGGCAGCGCTGGGGCCCAGCCCCACTGGCCGTGGAGGGACCAGAGGGCACCCGAGGCACCCGCAGCCTCCTCCAGGGGCTCAGCGCTGCCGGACGGCGCCGCCGGGCAGGCGGAGAAGGTGCGCTGGTATCCCCCCGGGCATCTCGCCGTGGGGCCAGGCTCCTCCGCCACGTTCAGCCTCAGGAAGGCCTGTAAGGGCAGAAGGGGGGGGGGGGCGTCGGTTAGAGGAGGCAACGTAGCGAGGCTGGGGACGGCCAGCAGCAGAAACAGGCTGAGCTGAAGGGGAGAAACCCTGCCCCCCCCCGCCAGTAAAACAGAACAGACAGCCCCTGGCTGAGCCCCACATGCCAGGCCGACCACCCGGCTGCAAATAACGAAGCCAAGTCTCAAGCAGTGTCTAAGCATCAGCAGCCAGAACCCTGTTGATTGGGGCGGGGGAGGCAGAAGGCCCCCAAAGTGTGCCACCCACTAGTTTATGCTTCCTTGATGAGCTGCAAGTGGGGGCACTGTGAAGCAGGACAGCTGGTCTAGTGGTTAGAGCACAGGCCTGGAAGCAGCATTAGGACACCTGGGTTCCATGCGCCCCCCCGCCTCCCCACCAGCACTGACTCACACAAGGCAAGCCGCTTCCCTCCCTCTCCATGCCTGTGTTTCCCCCCCTTCACAGCAGGGATGTCTGGTAGCAAAGTGCTTTACAGACATTGGGGGGGCCACACAGGGCATGGGAGGTGAGCATGCTGCCCTCTGCTGGATGGAAGCAGAACGGCACAGCTGTGTGTCCTAGCCCCCCTAAGATGCTGGCAGGGATTTCCAAGGGGTTTTGAAACCGGGGGGAGGGGGGGTGGGCGGGGAGAGGAGGAAATCTGGGTTCTTGCCCTGAAGCTGCTCTCAGCAGGCCCTGGGATGTGGTAGGGAGCCAGCCACACAGAGACCTTAGCAGCCAAACAGTTTAGGGATCGGATCTGACAGCTCGATAAGCCACGGCCAGGGAGCCACACCAGGAGGTCGAGGCACACTTGCCCCAGCTGATTAAGCCCTGGGAGAGGGAGCTGAGCCACACGCCTCCGGCTCAGACATCTGCAGGGGCACCGTCTGGACTGCCCGGCTCATGCAATTAGCCAATTACTCCGTCTGCGGCCTGCAGGACCGTACGGGGCTGGGAAGGATCACTGACTAGAGAGGTACCAAGGAGCTGCTCCCCTGTCCAGAGTGAGTGGGAAGCTTGGACATCATGGGGACGCCCCCCCTCCCCCGAGTGCTCCTAGCTAATGAAGAGTTAATGCGGGGCCACTGGAGACTGGAGTGGAGGGCGCCAGACTAGGACTCAGGACTCCTGGGTTCTATTCTCAGCTCTGCTGCCAGGATGACCTTGGGCAAGTCACCCCCCCGTGCCTCAGTTTCCCCATCCACACAGGATCTAAATTTTGGTTCAGATTTAGACCACCTTGGCAACTCCCACATTCCAGTAGGAGAGCACCCACCGCCGGAGATATACTGGTGTAACAGACCTGAGACGGTGACCTTTTCAGGGGCCTTTAGCCGCTACCATATTCCACGTAATACAAGCAGATCCACCTTTTAGGGAGCACGCTAGGCAGCAGAGACAGGCACCAGGCCTTTTTTTTGGGGGGTGGGGGGCAGGGTGTATACAACCTGGCTTCTATCGGGGCTTCGTCCAGAGGGGAGGCCAGATGCTAGCTCACCGTTCCAGGCATGGCACCGATCGAAGTCAGTGGGTGTCGGCCCCATTTGCCCCCGAGCTGGGCTTAGTCCCGGGCCCCAGCAGGGAGCCGGTTTGAACAAAGGGGGCCCCACAGCTTCATCCAGTTCCCATGCTCCTGAACCACTTGTGCCGTGGTAGCGTGTCCTGGAGGAGAAAGCGGCTCCCACTTTCCCAGCTTCCCCATTTGAAACCTTGCAGCAAACACACGCCTGGCCCACGCCGCTGAAGTGCCTGGCTCTGTTCCAGAGCCTCTGGACGGGGCGCAATGGTCTCACACTGGGCGTTTAATAAAGCGCTGGGGTGTTTTATAGCCCCCCCCCCAGCAAATAAAGCAGAACCCCTGCTGCTACAAAACTCAACTGTTTGGAGCAGAGGGGCCCTTTTGTCCGGTTGGGTGGGGGGGAGGCGGTCTGCTGCAACTCAGAAGCTAGGGGAAAGCCAGAGAGACAGAAGGGGTGGGGTGGGTGTAAATCTCTGAAAGCCAGGGTCAGATGCCCAGCGGGTGTCCTATTTGAGGTGAGGCCCAGCTCAGCCGCTGAGGGCCCAGCCTCCGGCAGGCAGATTGGGGAGGAAAAAGACCCCCCCCACACACACACACCCCACCCCATCCCATCTCAGAGCAGCTGCAACGATGCAAGGAGCCACAGGTAGGAGGGGTGCAGGGACAATCGGTATGGGGGGGGATGCTGCAAGCCACTGAACCAAGCTGCAAACCCTGCACTGAAGGGTGTGTGGGTGGGTAGGTGGGGGGGGGGGGGACAGCACCCATCCAGCTGGAAATCATAGCTTTTCCTAGCTTGGAAGAGACCTCAGGAGGTACCTAGTCCAACTCCCTGCCCAACGCAGCCCCAAGTAAAGTGCCTTGCGGCCTGGACACCTAGGTGCAAATCCTTCCTGGCTTTTTACAAAACTTTGCACCATTTCCCGCCCCTCTCGCTGGGGCCAATCCTCCCCCCCCGTGGAAAGAGCAGCTGCGAAGAGCAAGTCGCCTGCCAGGTCCCCCCCCCTCCAGCCCGGCACAGGGCAGCCAGGAGCACATGGAGAACCAGGCCAGGCTGCAAGCCCGCAGAGACTTTATTTGCAGGGGGGCGGACACGACTTTCTTGCTTCTGGATCTTCTGCAGCCCGGGGCTCTCACGGGGCCTGTCCTCCCCCAGCCCGGCCAGGCACCGGGGGGGGCCCGGGGGTAACAAAAGCCCATCGGAGCAGCATGGCGGGAAAACAGGAGGGAGGCGCAGAGAGTGACCTGCAAGTGGCAAATCCCTCCCCCCCAGGTCTCCCCGCCCCACCTGGCACAGAGGATCGTCCAGCTCCACAAAGGGGGTCAGCAGATCGGAGGGCATCGTCTCCGCCCCGGCTCCTCCGGCTCTCGGCAGGGCTGCGCCGGGCCGGGCCCGCGTGGAGGGCTTTTAAAGAGCCAGCTTTTGCAGCCCCGCGCGGCCCTTTGGCCCCGCCCCCCGGGAAAGGGGCGGGGCGGATAGCGGGGTGGGCGTGGCTATGGCGAGCTGGGAGGGGGGAAGCGGGGGGGATTCGCACAGCAGCATTCCCCAGCATGGCTGCAGCCACAAGGGGAGGCTGAGGCGAGAGGCCAGGACTCCTGGGTTCTCTCCCCAGCTCTGGGAGGGGAGTGGGGTCTAGTGGTTAGAGCAGGAGGGTTGGGAGTCAGGACTCCTGGGTTCTCTCCCCAGCTCTGGGAGGGGAGCGGGGTCTAGTGGTTAGAGCAGGGGAGGGCTGGGAGCCAGGACTCCTGGGTTCTCTCCCCAGCTCTGGGAGGGGAGCGGGGTCTAGTGGTTAGAGCAGGAGGGTTGGGAGTCAGGACTCCTGGGTTCTCTCCCCAGCTCTGGGTGGGGAGTGGGGTCTAGTGGTTAGAGCAGGAGGGTTGGGAGTCAGGACTCCTGGGTTCTCTCCCCAGCTCTGGGAGGGGAGCGGGGTCTAGTGGTTAGAGCAGGAGGGTTGGGAGTCAGGACTCCTGGGTTCTCTCCCCAGCTCTGGGAGGGGAGCGGGGTCTAGTGGTTAGAGCAGGAGGGTTGGGAGTCAGGACTTCTGGGATCTCTCCCTGGAGCTGGAGTGTGACCCTTACCATGTCATTTCCCCACTCTGTGCCTCAGTTTCCCCACCTGTAAATGCGGTGGGTCCCTCTCTTTGTAAAGCGTTTCAGGCTTTTTGGGTGGGAAGCTGCTTGCAGCAAGCTGGCTGGCGTGTCTGTGGACCGCTGCCTTCTACCGGGTGGAACCAGAGCTGTGCTTCTGTGTGCCAGTCCCTCTATACTGCAAATGGAGATTCTCCTTCAGCCGGCACGATGGGGCTGCCTGGACTTGGGGATGGTGTGTTCTAACTCTGCTGTAGCCGGGAAAATTAACTACCCACATCCCCAGTAGAGAGGGGTAGCTGTGCGTTACCCCTCAAAAGCTCTTGGAGCTCTGTATGGGCCCAATATGTCATCCTGCTCACATTTAAAGGCACCGATGTCCCCTGCTGGTGTAGATCAGTGTCTCTCCTTTGATGTCCATGCCATGCCGGCTTACCCCAGCTGGGGGTCTGGCCCGGTGACTCCAATGGAGCGACGGCTGATCGACACCAGCTGGGAATCTGGCCCCCCTGGGTACATCTACACTGCAAGAGAACGCCCAGGGGTGGCCTGTGTCAGCTGGCGCGGGCCAAGGGGGGCTATAAAATTGCAGTGTCGACATTTTTTGGGGTGGAGCTCGGGCTCGGACCCCAGGATGGGGGTGGGTCCCAAAGCCTGGGCTCCATCCTGAGCCCGAATGCCTACACCGCAATTAAACAGCCCTGGAGCCCGAGTCAGTGGGCACTGGCCAGCGACTGGCATCTAATTGCAATGGAAAAATGCCAGACTCCAGTCTAGCTCTGCCAAGGGCCAGTAATTCAGGCTTTTTCACACCTTGGCAGCTCCTCCTTTCCTGCATCTCGGGCCTGATCCCCAGATCCCGGCACAGTCATTTACACCAGGGCAAAGTGGGCACAAAACACTTCCGGGTCAAAGCCAGGCATGTTTGGTGCCCACTTGCCAGCCATGCCAGCGACTGGATGAGGGGCAAGGCAGGAGCAAATTGTATCCCACTGTGCCCCGGGGTCTGGGTGGCCCCCGTCGCTGTCGTCTTTATCTTCCCTGTGTGGCAGAGCCATGCTATTACCCCCATTGCATCGCTGGGGGAAACTGAGGCACGGCGCTGCTCAGTGACTTGCTTCAGGGCACAGAGAGAGTCTGTGGCAGAGCAGCTGATTGAACCTGGCTCTTCTAAGTCCCAGACTGGCACCCCAAACCCTGGACCAGCCTGCCTCTCTGACGTTATAAAAGCATGAACGGGGTTGAGCGTCCTGCATCAAGCCATTCCCAGCTGGGACACAGTTCTGGGGCTGTTGGGAGGGGAAAGCACACACATGTGCACATGCATACACTCCCCCCCCCCCCGACTCTTTCTCAAGAGCTCTTTCACCGCGACCCTGAAAATACAGTTGATGATGCAAACCCCAGTGCCCTCTCCCCTGGCATCGGTGGGCAATGTCTTTAGGCAAAATAATTTATTACAACCCATCTATGCCACCGACCCCGCATTCCCCCTCCACATAGCTTCTCCCCCCTCCATCCCCTTCCTTCCCTGCCGCTTCCCCTGCTGGCCAACCGCTGCCAGCTCGGGTATTCCTATCCCGTGACTCCCTGGCACCCGCCGCTGTAGAATCGCTCAAGCAACGGTCACACACAGCACCCAGCCCTGCCCTGCCACGTCCCCGGTGCAGCTGCTGCTGCAGAGTAGGGAAGAAAGTCTTGAGAGGCAGCGTGGTCCAGTGGTTAGAGCAGGGCATTCTGGGAGTCAGGACTCCTGGGTTCCATCCCCAGCTCTGGAAGGGAAGTTGTGAGGGTCTAGGTGATCTCCTGCTCCAACCACTGGCCCCCACTCCCTTCCCAGAGCTGGGAATAGAACCCAGGAGTCCTGGCTCCCTTCCCAGCCTTGCTCTGACCTCTAGATCCACTCGCTTCTCAGAGCTGGAAATGGATCCCAGGAGTCCTGACCCACACTTACCCCGCAGCTTTAAGCTATCTGGCCCAACTTCCTTCCCAGATCCAGAAGGAGAACCCAGGAGATCTGATCCCAGCCCGCCTTGCTCTAACCACAGGGTATTTTACCCTCCGCTACCACCATTGACGTTCTTCATCCTTTTGTTGTGGGCTTGCCCACCCATAACCCTCCCCCGCTGGTGGTCCTCTGGGAGTGACTGTGAAGTAGACGACCCTCTGGCTGGAGCTGGGGCAGAAGGGAGGGGGTGATACCAGACTGATGGGCCCATTGGTCTGGAGTTGGGGGTGCCAAGCTAGATGGACCCAGTGTCCCTGTCTCCCTTGCCCACCTAACCCAAGCCTCATAGCTAGGGGTGACCCCCCCTCAAGACCCAGGAGTCTTGCACAGCCGCTGGGCTCCTGGGCACCCAGAAAGCCGTAGGGGCCAGGAGGAGCTCAGAGCTGGCTGAACGTAAACAGCATGTCATAGTCCCTCTATCTCTCCTGCTCGTCCCCCCGCGACCCGTTGGCCGCCAGCTGGGCTGAGCTGATAGTCACACATGCACCCAAATGGGCCGGAGGAACCAACCCAACCTCGGAGGATGCGCGGTGAGAGCGTGGGGGGTGTATCTGCAGCTCAGTTTAGCTCAGCTTCAGTCTGGGGGGGCTTGGGGGGGGGGAGGAGTGCTGCGTGTTTACACCACTGGTGTGTGGTTGGTCTGTGGGCCGCGAGGTGCGCACTCCCAGCGCTTGGGATCCACACGCCCAGGCCCCTGAGCATGGTGGGATTTGCACACCAGTGCACTAGTGCCAGGGTTTACACGCCCGGCGAGTGCAATGTGCTAAGGCTAGTCGCAGCGCTCTCAGCCACCAACTGCAGCGGGATTTGCACGCTCCCAGGCCCCGAGCACAGTAGCGTTTGCACACTATGGCATTAGTGCCAGGGTTTGCCCACCCACAGTACAAGTGGATTTGCACACCAGGTCCCTAGGGCAGGATGTGTGTTCCCCGCCATGGAGCATAATAGGATTTGCACACCAGCTCACGAGCACCAGGATTTGCACACCCACAGTGCAGATCAATTTTCACTCCAGGTCACTGGTGCCAGGATGTGCAGGCAGATTTGCACACCAGTTCTCCAGGGCAGGATTTTCACACCCACAGCGCAGGCAGATTTGCACAACTGGCCACTGGTGCCAGGATTTGCACACCCACAGCACAGACAGATTTGCACACCAGTTCTCAGGGCAGGATTTGCGCACCAACCGGCAGATTTGCACACCTGGCCACTAGTGCCAGGATTTGCACGCCCACCATGCAGGCAGGTCTGCACGCCAGGTCTCTGTTTGCAGGATTTGCATTCCCAGCCCTGGAGCATGGTAGGATTGGCACAGCGGGGCACAAGTGCCCAGGGGTACTGGAACAATGTGTAGAGTGAGGGAGGGAGCTGAGAGCCATTGAACCAAACTGGAAACCCTGCATATAATGGAAAGCACTTCAAGCCAGGGGTTGCGGCATCCCCCCTAGTTCCAGCACCCATGCAAGTGCCAGGACTCACTCCCGGTCCTGGAGGCCACCGGGGGCCTTTTCCCCCGCACACGTCTCCAGCTGTTGGGCAGATGTGGCAGGGCCAGGCCAAGGCTCCAGGGCCGGTGGGTGCGCGGGATGGGGGACCCACTCCCAGCCCCTCTGCCTCTGGCTCTGAGCCCGGCGAGCTGCAGAGCAGTTAGAGCCAGCCGTGCCCCTGCGCTTCCTGATTAGAGCAGAGGGCTTCCCGGCTCGACCGCAGAGCCCAACGGCTACAAGCCAACTGCTGCCTCCGTGGCACCTGCACCGATAACCCTCCCGCCACCCCGTTTCCCCGGAGGGGGGATTCCGTGTCCTCCCTTCCCCCACCACTCATTCTCCTCCTTCCATCCTCCGCCTGACCCCTCTCCCCCACATCCTCCGTCAGGATCAGGTTTAAACTAAACTGAATTAGGAGAGTCTACATGGGACTCAGGGCTCCGGGGTTCTGTTGGAGTGTGGGCGAGTGGATAAAAGAAAAAAAAAGGGGTGGGGGGAACGGGGCAGCTCTGAGCCAGGACTTCTGGGTTCTCTATCCAGCTCTGGGAGGGGTGTTGGGATCTAGTGGGTTAGAGTGGGGGCTGGGAGCCAGGACTCCTGGGTTCTATCCCTGCCTCTGGGAAGGGAGTGGGGTCTGGTGGGTTACAGCGGTGAAGCCGGGCTGGGAATCAGGACTCCTAGGTTCTGTTTCCAGGCCTGGTGGTGGCGGGGGCAGGGGTGGAAGCCAGGATGCCTGGGTTCCATCCCCAGCTCTGGGCTGCGAGCATGCCCTGTTGCCTTGTCTGGACTTGAGGAGCCCAGGGGACTGCAGCCAGGCAGGTTCCCTGCACACGCTCCAGCGGCTGATCAGATGTTGCA